GGAGGAAGTATTGTCTCTTAATGATGTGCATAAAAAAGAGTATCAACTTAAGTTTTCTCAAGGCCTGGAAATGCTTACAGCTGGTGTGAGTCCTGCACTAGGGTCAGGCTGGGATTTAGCATTCATAACAAATGCTCTCACCTCTTTCTAATCTTGAAAGTGAACTGCTGCCTCTCGTCTCATGCTGTCTCACCTTTCCTCCCTGACATTACAGTTCCCAGTCTCTGGTTTGCACAGGAATCTCAGGCCCAAGATACGTGGACACGTTGTGGTATATCTTTCTTGATGGTAATGAGATCTCCATTGTCTGTCACTGGGTCACCCCCACTTGGGGGTTCTACACGTCTTATTTTCAGGGTCCCACTCAAAGGTGCCATTGCCCTTAATTACATTATCGGCACGCTACGTGATCCACCTGTTTGTGTGCCGTCAAGCCGAGCCCATCCACAGCCGGTCGTCCAGCAGGTTCTCAGAGGCAGTAAACCACACTGGACGAGACTGCCCGTCCTCGTGGGGAGCAGCTGGCAGCTTTGAACCATGGGCCACTAGGACTGCAGCTCAGCTTCTTACCTTAGTGGGCCACAAACACCTCACATTTGTGTAGTCCTATGTGGTCCATTTCCATGGCTTAGGAAAGTATGTGGGCTGAGTCAGAGCTGAGAAAGGTGGAGGGTCCGAGAAAAAGAAGACCCTCGACAAGAAGGACGGACACAGTGACTGTGGTAACAACACCAGAGGACGACACAGGATGGGCGAGGCTCGTGCCTGCTGTTCATAGAGATGTTGTGAGTTGTCTTCAACTTGAAGGCACTTAACAACAACAACAACTTAGACATGTGATGAGAGCTAAAAGATAAGGGCAGAAAAGTCAGATTCGATCATTTACTATCCTGCAGATGGGGCCAAATGTACACTTTGTTGTTGTTGTTATGTGTCGTCAAGTCTCTTGCAACTCACAGCGACCCTATGTACAACAGCCCTAAACCCTGCTCTGTCCTGTGCCAATCGCACTGCCTCTGACACTCCCATCCCGATTACCCCAGTCACTGAATCAATCCACCTCATAGAGGGGCTTCCCCTCCTGCACCGTGTCTCCACCCTTCCAAGCATGATGTCCCTCTCCAAGGACCAGTCCCTCCTTACAACACGTCCAAAGTATGTCAGACGAAGCCTCAATCCTTGCCTCCAAGGAGCAGCCTGGTTTAACCCTCTCTAGGATGAACCTGTTAGTTTTCTTAGCAGTCTGTAATACCTATGTGTATGAATCTCCCAAGCATTGTGTTAGACAAATGTTGGTTTGCTGGCTGGTCAGTGTTCTTTGATGGGTAAAGTAAAACTATACCCATGGTAAAAACAGTTGTGCCATTGGTTAAATTATGCTCCCCCAACATATGGATGTAATGACATACTGTGGAAACTATTTAGTTGTGAAATTATTAAGGGCTAATCTCATCACAGCCTGTTAGACGTAGAGGATGTTACCCTCGGGTGTTGCCCTGTAACATCTTTTATCTCACTGGAGATAGAAGCGAAGGAAACCTGGGAGAGGCAAACTCAGTTGCATCAAGAAAGAATCGCCAGGGGTGGGTGCAGCCCTTCAAACTCAGGTCTCTAGGAAAGAAAACACTTTGGTGCCAGGGAAGCCCAAGACACATGGAGACCTCCAAGGTCTGCAGACATGGAAGAAAACAAGGATCCTACCTAAAAGCTGACACAGAGAGAGGGCCTTTCCCTAGAGCGTGTATCCGCCTCAGCTGTGAGAGAATCTGTTTCTGTTGGTTAATGCCATCCACTTGCTGTATCTGTTAAAGCAGCACTACATGCACGATGAGGAACGCGGATGGAATAATCTGTGGAGAGCTGTGCTGAGAACCAATGACTGATTGTCTCCACTGGCTGGAACCCACCGGGGATACTGCAGGAGAAAGGTAGGCAGTCTCTTCCTTGACGATTTACAGGAGGGTAGCTAGGACTTGGAACTAATTCCACCGCCGTGAGCCTAGGCTGGGATTCGAGATAACCCAGCAGCCGGCGTGCTACCCTTTGGAAGTACTATCTCTCACCCCTCTGTTCCATGATGCTAGATATCCAACTACCTCCAGTCCCACTGACAGTATGAACCACATTTGGTAAATCAAGGCTAGAGTGGTGCTCAAACATCAGCCTACATCAGAAGAACCTTGATAGAAGCCAGGTTGTGGTTCCCAACACCGTTGTTGTCCTGGGATAGGTAGGGGGAATCTGCGTGTCTAATACACTTCAAGGCGATGCTGATGTTGTGGTCTGAGAGTTCAGAGAACCACTGAGAAGATGAATGTCAACTTGAGGGCATCTCAAGGTCCCCTACAGAGCTGATAAAATGGCGGGCGGCCTCTCTCTAAACATCGGTAAATCTGAAACAGTCCTTTTGTGCAGGGCTCAGGAATCTGTTTCCTAAGGACTTTCAGGTGTTGATGGTTGTTGCAGGGCTGTGCTATTGAATAGAGAAGGCCAGGCCTGGTGACAGACGGGAGGAGTCACATGGAAACCAGGTCAAGGAGAAAGGGCAGCGGGTGGGACGAGGGTCAGGGAAACAGGGAGGGCTTCATCCATTTCGTAAATAGTTAAGATTCTTGACTTTCCCCTGGGACTTTCAAGGACAGAAAGACCAGCCATCAGCCATAGAAATCACAAGACAAATGAGAAACATAAATACAACATATGGAGGTGCTTGAGAGAGTTATCAACTTTTTATTTGTGTAATACATCTGGAACTTATCAAAGCTCAGTGAGTGAATAAAACATCCCAGCCACAATTTACTCTCCAGAAGGACAGTACATTACACAGAAAGCTCGTAACGGTTCTCGGCAACTGGCTAGGGATGACCTAAAAAAAGAAAGAAAGGAACAGCACCAAGTGGCCTGAAAGCACCACAGGCCGGATGCTCAGGCTTGCTTTAGAGAATATGGACACATATATTCTGGGAGACTTTCCCTCCGTCCTGCCCTGGAACTCCCAGCACTCATCACATGCTTCCAGGAGATATGGGGTGGGGCGGATAACTGACAATTTACATTTTTTCCTGCTACAGACACGCACAATCATTTCTTCTGCCAAACAGGGCCTTATGCTGGCTGGGGGAATCATCTTGTTTCTCAGGCATTTGAAAAACCAAATGAAAAGTCTGTTTTACTACAGAACAATTGTTTAAAAATATGCTTTTTAAAGATGAATTTATCACACTTTGGACATGTTGCAAAATGTGACCAGTCCTTGGAGATAGACGTCATGCTTGGGAGGGTGGAGGGACAGTGCAGGAGGGGAAGACCCTCTATGAGGTGGATTGATTCAGTGACTGGGGTCATGGGGGTAGGTGTGTCAGAGACAGTGAGGTTGGCACAGAACAGAGCAGAGTTTAGGGCTGTTGTACAGAGGGTCTCTGAGTCGCAGGCGACTCAACGGCACATAACAGCAATATCCGGTCTTATCCATCTTTTCGTAGAGGGCTCAGATTTTGAATGAGTACATTTGGGAGTACATTTGTCACAAATGACAATGCTGCTATTCTAACACTGAGCCAAAGACCTTCTTGGTTGCTTTCTAAACTGTAGCAGAATAAAATCCTCTTCCTTCCTGGCAGCTGTGATTTCCATATCATGAAAATTAATATACCCAATGAACAGCATCCATTAAAAAGAACAAATGCTTCATTCTCAAAGTTCTGTCTCTATGACAATAAAAGAGTTTTAATATGTTCACTTGCATCTTATAAAGCTATGAAATGACACATCAACTTTTACCACATTGCCTCTTTTTATAACTACTACGACTTCTTTTTCAACTAGTAATTAACTTTTTAATCCTTAATTTAGTTTCCTATTAAGCAAAATTTTCACTTATAAAGTTGAAATATGTATGTGTTGGAGATATATGTGTTGAACACAAGAGAAATTATCAAAGGCAGGTGCTAAACCTGGACATTACAGCATGAACCTGGCACTACTCCGTTACACTACGATGTAATGCGTGAATGTTGGCATGCTGCCCAGGAAAGCATTTGGGAGACTCTCAATGCATTAATGGAATAGCCAAGTGGGCTGGTGAGTGTTTCAACCCCGTAAGTGGAAATACAGAGAAAATCCTGTAACTTACTCATTTGAAATCATTGAATTGTGACAAATTATCCTTGACTTTAAAATGAATAGGGTAAGTGGTAGGGAAATTTATTCTCTCTCTTCTCCAGACACTCCCAAAACCAAACATATCACTTCATGGAATCACAAACTCCAGGGCACTGAACAAGCCAACTTCTAAAAGTTTTGCTGACTTCAAATTCTTTTATTTTGGTTTGAGCCCCACTCGAGAATTTGTATTTTCATCCCAGATAGTTGTAATTTCAATCTTCATTTTAACAAGACTCTCAGCTGATTCTTACAGATCAGAAGGTGAGTTATACGTATATAAGAATCTTGTCAAACCCCAGTCTATGACTTCAAATTCTTTTATTTTGGTTTGAGCCCCACTTGAGAATTTGTATTTTCATCCCAGATAGTTGTAATTTCAATCTTCATTTTAACAAACTCCCAGCATTCTTACAGATCAGAAGTTAAGTTATACATACATAAGAATCTTGTCAAACCCCAGTCTATCTGGGGTGGAAATACAAATTCTCAGCCGGGGTCAACCCAGAATAAGACAGTGAGAGCCAGGTTGTTTTTTCTATTTCACTACAGCCTCTTTCTCTTTCACACTAACTTTCTAATTTGCATTTTCTAGAAAAGGCTTAAGTCTGTACAGACTCTCAGGAACATTTTTCAGTGTTTGTATCAGATTTACCTAGGGATCTTGTCACTATCTATTCATCAATTTCAATAAAAGCAGTAGTTACAGTTCTGTCTTCAATTTGGGGAGAAAAGTTTGATTTATATACCAACCTTAATGTATTTGATCATTTCCAAGTGTTAAAAAATGAGGATCTAGGTTATTGAAACATTTAAATCGGGACTTTTCATTTTCTTACCAGACATGAGACTTGCCATGTCTTCAGGACTCTGATTATTTTCATAATTATTTCTTAATTCCTGGGCTTTAACCACGTGGCTTGGAATATAAACCAAATGACCACTCCCATTGTCCAACACAAAAGCTGAGTCTCTCTTAACAGTTGACTCATCCCCAAAGAAGTAGTCCTCGTCTGAAGGTATCTCACGTAACTCGTCAGTAAATCTAGGGGGGCAAAGAAAGAGGGAAATTCTAGGTGAATCGAGAGATCTGTGGGGAGTACAAATAATATGTCCCAATAATTTGATAGAGTTGTTTAAAAATTTCTTTAAAATAATTGCATGATGTCTTAAAATTCAAAATTCATTGCAACCAAATAACTCCTTTAAGAAATTAACATTTTCTTAAGAAATGGTTGGAGACCTCATATTTATCAATTTGAAAAACTATAGTTACAGTAATCAAAACAGTCTGATCAATAACAAATTCATAGACTAACAAAATAGAATTGAGAGCAATCCCATATTCTAGCAGTGTGTCCAACAAGGTTCGGTGACTGTTACTCAAGTTGTCACTGGCCAGTTTTCTTAGAAGCAGATTGGCAAGTCCATCTTCCCTCGTCTGTTCTTAACCCAGAATTCTACTCGGGACCTATCTACCAAGTACTGGTAGCATAGCTTACAGCATCCCAGAAATGTGCAGGCCACCATAGTGTGACAAACTGACAGATGAAGAGAAGACTGAAATGACCAGGAACTGCAAGAAGAATGAGGAAATCTGTCTTGAAAGAAGCAGAGCCAAGATGCTTCTTAGAAGTACAGATGGTGAGACTTGATCTCGCGTATTTTAGACCTGTTCTCAGGAAGGACCAGTCCCTGGAGAAGGACGTGATGCCTGGCACGATTCCCAACAAGATCAGCTGACACAGTGACTGAGCAACGGCCCGCAACAGCAGCAGCTGTGAGGGTGATAGAGGGCGGGGGAGTGCTTTGTTCTGTTCCAGGAACACAGAATCACCGTGAGTTACAACCAACTTGACGGTACCAGCTGCTCCACAAAGAAAGATAGGCAGCCTCCTCTTGTGCGATTAACTAGCTGCTGAAGGGTCAGCTCTGACTCAAGGTCCATAACAACAACAATAACGACAGCAGCGTGAGCTCTGGGGCCTCAGTGGTGAGGAGGCATGTGCTTTGAATTCAGCGGGTGCTTTGTGGGAGGAAGATGGGTAATCTCCTTCTGTGCCATTTACTGCCTCTGGAAACGTACTGGAGGGTCAGCCGTGAGTCAGTTCCAGCTCATTGGTACATAATAGCAGCAAAATCCACTGCTGGTCGTGATGCAAAGTGGTGCAAAGAGTGTGAGAGAAAAAAATATGGTGATCCCTCAAAACGAATAAAAATAGAATTACCTTGATGCTCAGTGATTGTATTTTTAGGCCCCTTAAAAGTTGTAACACAGACATACTTATGTTCATTACAGCGTTATTCACAGTATTAAAAAGGCAGAAATAATCCCTGTGTCCCTCAGCAAATGAATGCATAAACAAACGTGGTATATACAAGAAATACTATCCAATCACAAGGGAAAATGCTAACACACCAATGAACCTCAAAGACATAATGATGGAGGAAATAAATCAGTCATAAAAGGACAAATGGATATAACTTCTATAAAATTACAAGGAAGAATAATTATGTAAAGACAAATGCTTATACATGGTTAAGAGGAGCAGGGTGGAAAGAGTTGAGGGTGAGGGGAAGCAAAACCACTCGCCGACAAGTCGTAGATTCCAGTCTGTAGTGAAGAGAACACCGGCGTCGACTAAGGGCGATAGTCACATAACCAGAGGAACACACCTACCTCTCCTAAGCTGTACACCAGGAAAATAAAGGAGGAAGGCATAGACTGGAAAAGAAAGTATATACAGTTTTACAACTACAGCAGCAACTAAAAATAAAAATCTACGTCTGTGGACACTACCTAAGCACAACTAATCACTGCCTGGGATTAGTTCTCTTTGTTCAAAAGTTTATGGTCATAGCTTCTTGGGTATTTTCAGACAATTGGAAGAACATCTCTGAAGTTTTTGCTCTATGTTTCAGTCCAGTCTATAGTTTCTGAGATCTTAAAAGCTTGCAAGTAGATATCTAAGAGCAACAATTGGTCTCTCTTTGCCTAGAACAGCTGAGCAAGAAGGAGTCCCGGATATCGGAGAAGGAAGTGGACTGCAGGGTTAGTTACGTTCATGAGCTACTGTCTCTTATCATCATGAGGTGAAGTAAAGTGGATGGCACGCAGCATACGTTACCGAATGCTCTGATCAAAGGCTCAACAAACAGATACTGATCAAAAGGAGGAAAAGGCTGCAACAGAATTTCAACTCATTGGAAAGCAGATAGCAGCTGGAGGCCGAGGTGAGATGAGGCTGAAATGTGGGCTCCAGCCTTTTGTAGGATTCCTGGTGGCACAGTGGGTGAAGCATTGGGCTGCTAATTGAGCAATCAGCAGTTAAAACCCCTTCACTGCTCCCTGCATAAAAATACGAAGCAGTGTGCCTCCACTAGTCCTGACAGCCTCTGAAGCCCACCGAGGGGTCGCTGTGGGTGGGATTTGACTCGGCGGCATGGCAGGCTTTGACTTTTGGTAGTCTGTGGTAGGGTCACTGGGGGTACAACTCGGCGAGCACACAGCTAGCTCTGGTGGCTTGATGGTGAGGAGTTGCATTGCCAATGCGAACGCAAGAGGTTTGAATCTACCAGTTGCCCCACAAGAGAAAGGTGAACAGTCTCTTCCCGCATGATTTGCTGCCTCTGCAAACTCACTGGAGGGCCCGCTATGAGTTGGTTCTGACTCAACAGCCAGTAATAACAAACGGGAAAAATGGTGGCTTGAACCCATCCAGAGACATCTTGGGAAAACCCCACTTGATTACTAGGTCAGGGGCGAGGCAAAGGCCATTGGAAAGACTATGGAACATAGTTTACATTGATGGACATGGGGTCTCCATGAGTCAGAAGGAACTGAAGGAGCAATTATTATTATTATGTTTTTAAGGGGATAAATATACACAGAAGAATGTCTGGGGAGAGAATCTAGTCCATGTATTTAGTGAATTGTCATAAAGCTTAAGAAAATGTTACAAAGACAACCAGTCAGAAAGCATGCTTGATAGGAAACGTCTAAAGAAAATGGTGAGTGTGAAGAGTCTTCACGTCAGAGACCTCAAGAGCTTCCTCGCCCTAATAATCTGCCACCTTCGCTTATCCAGGTGTCAGTCAATGAGCAGCCACTAGAAAATAGAAGCACTTTTCAACTCACCTGAGACGGCCAATCTGCCAATGCTCCCCTTCCGAGCGGAGGCGTCTGCAGGCGTCCTCCAGCGTTGGTGGTGGGTACTGATTGAATCCTCCTACAGAGAGAGCAGAGTCAGACTCCATGTGCAAGCAGGAAGCGGGTTTGCTCAGTAAACAGAATCCCAAGAGCAAGGCCCTGGATGCAGTGTCACCTGATATTTCAGGAAAATGTGGCTGACGTGAAAACAGCAAATGACAGCAATTTGACATAGCTTTCAAAACCTGACTTCGGCATGCTTTAGCAGCCAAAAGAATTTCCAAGGTCGCAAGATGAAACAGAATCCCCCAGAGTATTCCCCAAATGGTTAGAAACGATGCAGGAACGTGTGGTTGCAGGAGCTCAGACCAACATAATCAAAGGGGAAGTGTCCCCCACTTCTTTTTCGTTTTGGTGTGCAGACTTATGCTAAAGGACCAGCTCTACAAAAGACATTATTTTGTGCGTGTACAGCACTCAACACTGAGTTCACAGGACGAAAGAATCACAGAACGGTTTTGGGCTTGCAGTTCTCATGAGTATACCACCTTATTCCTTCCCACGTTTTCCCGATATTCCACAGCTTATGCACCATGTACAAGCCCCTCCCTTAAATGAGGCTTTTGACCACTGACCAACCAAGGACTTCAGAAAAACACTTGAGATAAATTCTGTAGTCTTCTAATTGTCATATTCTCTGAGGTTAGGTGAGTTTCTCCCTCTCCTTTTTCCTTTTTCTCTAAACAAGAGTGTCAGTTCTCATGAACTGTATCTAGGATCTGCTATTGGTGCACCACGGAGGCTGTTGTAGTTGTCACTGCTGCTGTCTATGCAGGAACGTCAGAAGTGCCAGCACCGCAGCTTGGAAAAGTGGGGTCAGCACGTTGGGAAAACAGCCAGATGGCGGGGTCGGGGAATCTTTTGATTTTTCTGAACCAGGGGCCTCCAGAAGGACGGCAGTAACTAGGATGGGATTGCGATGTTCTCCCATCGGGAGCAAAGTGAATTGTGTAGTTGCAAAGCCACACAAGAGTCCAGCCTCACCAACAGAGTTATTTCACAGGCATTGCAGTTGTTAAAACACTGGGCTGCCACACAAATGTTTATTGCTGCTTTGTTCACAATAGCAAAGAGATGGAAACAACCCATGTGCCCATCAACAAACAAATGGATAGAGAAGCTGTGGTATATTCACACAACGAAATACTATGCTGCATTGAAAAATAAGGAACTCATGAAATATTATACAAACTGGGTGACCCTGGAGGACTTTATGCTGAGTGAAATATCTCAGTCACAAAAGGACAAATACTGCATAATGCCACTGTTGTAAAACAGGACTGACCTTGGGGTTGGGGGAAAACAAAGAAAAGAGGGAATAAATAATGTACACTGCATTAAAACAGATGAGGGAAAGAACTGCTTAAAAGGAATATATGATTAGGTATTATTTGTATGACAACAGTCCAGAATAAGAGCTGCAGAGTAAAGTGGACTGGGTGGGGGTGGGGAATGAACTTTTTTTCAAAGAGAAAAGCAAACTGGGGCAGGGCGGGGGTGAGTAGGGAAGAAAATGTGCAACAATGAATGAATGAAAATTCAAGTTCTCTGTAAACTTTCATTAAAATCTCAATTTTTTTTAAAAAAGCAATAAAACACCCCAAAACACTAGGCTGCAAACCAAAAGGTTAGTGGTTCAAAGCCAGCAGGTACTCCATGGGGAAAAAGATGTGGCCATCTGTTTCAACAAAATTCACAAATCAGAAATCATACAGGGAATTCTACTTTATCCTATGGGGTTGCCATGATTCAGAGATGAGGTCTAGTCTTTAAACACTGCATCAACAGCCACCTGATGACACAAAGAACAATGTTGCATGAGGAGAAATGAAAAGAAGAGTGAGCCCTCATGATACTGTCGTGGTTGGGGTGGGGTACTTGAACACCATGACAACTGTTCGATTCTAACATCGTGGGAATGGTTTTGGCAAAATCTAGCCATAAACCTGTTCGATTCTCAGGAAGATCTGGTTCTGATCTGTGGGACCATCTACAGCAGAATTAATTGACCCCAGAAACTCTAGCATTTGTCTTCTTTTTTTTTTTTCTTCTTTTTTTTTTCTTTTTAAATTCACTTGTAAAGCTGTCTGGTCCAGGACTTTTTTTGGCTGGAAGTTGTTTTATTACCTTTTCAATTTCTTCTTTTGTTTTTTTTTTTTGTTTGTTTGTTTTATTATTTTTGTGTGCATGTACCGTCAAATCAGATCTGACTGGTACAGGAGGAGATTGCCCCTCCTTCCCCGGCAGAGCATCTGGTGGATTCGAACCGTGAACCTCTGGGATTGTAGTTGCAGCTTCTTGCCACTAGGCCACCAGAGCTCCCCTAAACTCTAGCATTTGGACAATGGGGACTAACATGTACTTTGGGAGATCTTTGTCAGGTGACATTGGGTTGGGAATGCCTCATGACAACCCTCTGACCAATGGATCTGAACCCTGTCCTCTCCTGTGCCATCCTCATCATCTCTGACATACATAAGCACATTGCTTCAGCCACTGCGTCACTCCATCTCATTGAGGGTCTTCCTCTCCTTCACTGACAAGCACGATTTTTAGCATTGTCGGGTTAAAGGTGACAGTATCCCCAGCTGTGAAAGCCAACATGTCCCCAGACATTGCTAGATGTTTCCTGGACAGACAGGGGGTGGGGTGTCACCTCTGATTGAGAACCATACTATAGGAGAATATTTCTTACACCATTTGTGGTGAGAGGCAAAGCATTTTTTTTTTCTAACTCTTTGCAGATTTTGTTTGTTTGTTTACATCCTGTTCAAGGATTCCTGATTCTGCAGGACCAAATGCAGGAAAAGTTTGGAAATGCTTATTTCCATTTCTGTCCTTATGCCCTCGCAGACCATTAAGCAATGATCTATGGGCTGATAGCCACAATAAATACTGATGATGACTTCTTTTGTACTGGCCTAGAGCCCTGCAAGGGAGCTCTAGGGTCCTAGTAGTAAGGAGTCGTGCCTACAAATCCAAAGGCACTCAGTTCGAATCCACCAGCTGCTCCATGGGAGAAAGATGGGCACTATTGCGTGTGATTTTTCAGCCTCTGAAACCTCACTGGAGAGTCACTTATGGGTCAGTTCCAACTCTGTGGCAACTAACAACAACAGAAGTTTGGCTACTCAAAGTATTGCCGGTGTGACAGCAGCAGAGGCGACACTGGGATGGGAATGAAAATGCATAATCCCAGACCCTGCCCTAGACATCCTGAACCACAGCCCGCAGTGGAATCAGATTCCTTGGTGACCCACACGCTCAGACTCTGGGGGAAGCAGGTGTGTGTTGTCTTTACTCCATCCTACAGGTCTCCCCAAGCGTCGAGGACTCTCCTTCATAGGGTCGCTATGAGTCGCCTGCGACTCGACGGCACTTAACAACAACAACAACAACAACAACAACAACAACACAGGTCTCCAGAGCGAGAAACAAACCAGGCACAGTAGGAAAAGATATACTCTGGCTTCGCTTCAGATCATGCAGATCTTTTGCCTTTTAAATGCTCATCCCAGATATCATCCAAGAACCCTGGAACTTCAGCTGAGAGAATGGGATTCAGGAAATGTCTGCTTCCTCTGTCCTTCCTGGGGCTGAGATTTCAGCTAAGGAAAGCTGCCATGACAAAGAGCTTAGCACATTATGACCAAAGTATAAAGGGGCATCACTAACACAGGTCTCGTCCCCAAGCCCCATTTCTCCGTCTAAATCACAGATTTGGATTTGCAAATGATCAAGCAGGTTATCAGTACTCTTGACAGAAACTACTTTATTATTAAAATGGAAAGGAACAATTAAATGACTTACGTCTGACAGAGTATATAAACGGCTTCAGGAACCTCACAATATAATCCAGCTCTGGTTTCTGCATCCTCCCAAGTTGTACCAGATGGTGCTCAGGTGGGTAGCTTGCAACCTCCTCCATGGCGTCCTCCTCTGTAGAGCCCAAGGAAATCACGAAGATGACGTAGCCTTGACACTTGGCCCTCAGAGCCACCTTCTTTAAGAATTCCTTTCTCTCGACATTTTTTCCAGCTGAGACAACAAAAATGGCCCTGTGCTTTCTTAAGTTGGGTGTTCCTGGGAAAAGACTCTCTATGGTCCACAGAAGGGCCTGGCCAATGGCGGTTTCTCCACGGAGTTGCTGGAGGGAATTCTGGATGTGTGCCTTCATTAAGACTTGGTTCCCAAAATTTGTAAAATCAAATTCGATTTTCACGGAACTATTTCTTCTCCTATCCCAAGGAGCATAGCTCAGCAAGGCAATCCTGTCACCAGTGTCTGAAGTTAAAGGGTCTGACGCAATATCAAAGCTGTCAACCACTGAGTCCATCAACAACTTCACGGCCTTAAACTCCTCACTGGCTAGATTTCGAGAATTGTCTACAAGGAAGGCTGCATCCATGTACGAACTGGCAGGTAAAAATATCTCTTTTCTGCAAGTGTTTGGAAAACATTTATCTGACAACACAAAACAGAGACTCATTAGTTTGATGTCGGCAAAACAAAATACTGCTTGTTTGAAACCTTCAGGTGTCTAATTACTAGGAGCTAATAATCTGATTAACACTGCTTCACCATCCCATAATTTAAGTTAATGAAAAATTTCCTACAGTCTGACATTTCTGTGGCCAGTCGAAGACAATTGGGGAATTTCGCTGGAGAAAGTAGAACTGGATAGGGCATTTACCTTATGTCCTAGCCTAGCTCAATTCAAGTATACTTTCAATATTTTTCAAGTGTTTGATACAAATAAACAAATAGTTCCCCCGGAAATGAAAAATAAATTTGGATAATCTACTAAAGAGTTTTTGCTTTCTTAGGACCAAGTCTAAATATTATAGAAATTGAAACTTCTACATATGATATTGAAAATAGAACCTCAAGTCAAGAGTAAAAAACCTTTAATCAAGTCAGATTAAATTGTTCATCAGAGATCTGTGCCGTTTTCTGTCTGGGACGATCTTCTCGTTCGACTCACCATAGCAGAGAGTGCAGCGCCGAAGCCCTTCGAAGGGGTCCTCGCTCCCACCGGGCGACACTGGAATCACCTGAAATGTCCCGGTGTCGTCAAACTGCATTGGAGGAGAGGGCAATCCTTGTTTGCGCACATTTTCTAATAAAATAGCCATTAGTAAACAAAGCATGACGCACCCACATAGGCAGCTCTGGCAGCCTGGTGGTAAGGAGCTGTGCTGTAATCCCAAAGGCATGCAGTTCAAATCCACCAGCTGTGTCATGGAAGGAAGATGGGCAATCTCCTCCTGAGCAATTAAACTGTCAACTAGCCGGAGAGTCAGCTGTGGGTCAATTCCAACTTGTCATTACACACAACTACATGCACTTTAAGAATTAGCTGGAGAAACACCCAGCTAATTATCACATCCCTGCAATACAGTTCTACGTTCTATTAGATAAACCTACACACATACACCCCTTCAATCCTAAAGGTAGGTTAAAGCAAAGCAGACCTTAACACCCCATTTTATGCTGAGAAGACTACTTTGAGATAACCAGAGTGCATTCACACACCGAAGCTGGAAACACGAGTTGCTAACTCTTGTTCGTAACATCTTTTGAAGGCCAGACCTCCACGTTGGACTTCTCACACCCTTCCAATCACGCAGCAGCGGCTGGAGCTGGGCTTCAGCTGAAATGTCACCCCCACACGGTTCCTCTGACTCCCTTAAACAGTGATCCCACCCAATCCCCCCTCGACCACACTGTCAAGGAGAGGGCACATCTTTCAGACGTCAAGTGGACCTTCCCAATCACGGATTCAATTACACAGCAGCCTCAAAAAGCAGCGAACCCAAAACCCTAAATCCATGGGGCATGGTCAGTGCGGTGACCACCATCTGATCCTTGGCCACTCCTCGCCTTTAATATTCATTGAACGGCAAGTGTGTGGCTTTCCTTCCTGCCTTCATTCAGTGAGTCAATGACCAGACCACTGGGGGCATTTTCTCTATGTGAGGCGCCATCTATTCTACAATGACAGTCATCTACCACCCGCTGGTGGTCAGGAGGGGGTCCCTCAGGCTGCAGAGTTGCCCATACCTTTTCTCCTTCTCCCTTGAGAAATTGAAGGATCAGAAAGGCCATAGGACTAGCTTTCCCGTAAAGTGGTCGGTGAACGTGTGCAAATATTTGAAGTCCTTCTGGTCTTGTGGTTAGAAAGTATTGACTGCACTGTTGCTCCGTTCTTCTTTGTGAATTTGCCTTCTCTGGGGTGTTATTGTGGTCCCCAACAATTACTGAGCAGTGACTTACTCACAGAAGTTGCTTGCCGCTCAGTCCATTTGTTCAATAGTTATTTGAGTACCTACAATATCATAGGTACTATTCTAGCTGCGCAGGATACATGACCAATAGATCTCTCTCCCTTCCGTGTCTAATGAGAGTCAGTCCATCAACATACTCAGGAAATCATCTAACATGGTGGAGTGGGATTCATTTTTATAAAAAATGAAGCAGAGTAATAGGAATGGGAAGGGCTGGGGTGACAATTTTAAACAGAATCTAAAGAGAAAGTGGTAGTTAAGCAAAGTCTCCAAAGTGGAGAAGGAGGGAGCTTAGCTCGGGGAAGTACTCCAGGCATGTGGGAAGCCAGGGAAAGCAAGACGAGGTAACGAGGACAGCAAGTGCAGGCCGTCTTTCTGCCAGAAGATCTGCTGTAGAGTAACCATGAAACGACCAAGCTTCGTGTCACATACTTTGGATGTGTTGCTAGGAGAAGCTGGTCCTTGGAGAGGGACATCAAGATTGGAAAGGTGGAGGGACAGCTGAGTAGAGGATGGCCCTCAACCAGGCAGACTGACACGGTGACAGCAGCAAGGGGCTCTAGTGTGTTAGAGATTGTGAGGACAGCACAGGGTAGGACGGGGCTCAGCTCTATAAGCTGCACTTGACACAATGGCACCTAACAACAAAAACAGCCAGGAAATAGGGTGGTAACTGAAGTGACAAGCTGGCTCTAAAAGTTGAGTTTCGTTTTGTTTTCTCATTGGAATCACTCAGCAGGGAATGAATAAAATGATCTTCAATAGACAGTGGATCTCTGCATAATATTACAACCCTAACACTTCAGGTTGGAGAGAACGAGTGGTCCAGTGGTAAGACTTTGCACTGCCAACCCAAGGTCACCCTGCTCGAATCCACCAGCTGCTCTGAGGAAGAAAGGCTAGCAGTCTCCCCTGTGCAAGCTAGAGCCTCTGAAACCCCCTGGGGGGTCAACTAGGAGTCAGTTCTGACTCAACAGTGCAGAACAGCAACACTTTAGGAGGGAACGCTGATGATGGAGTTCATGGGGAGTGGTGTTGCTAAACCCAAAGCCTCAGCCCTCCGAAGGTTCAAATCCATCAGGAGCTCCGTGGCAGGAAGCTTGTGACGCCCTCCTGTGCAACTTAGAGGCTCCTAACCGGCTGGAGTTGACTCAGTCGGTGCGAATGAACTAGTGAAAATCTTAGGGGTCCTGGAAGGGCAGTGGGAAAAGCACATAACTGCAGCCTAAAGGTTTGTCCTGAGCCTCCACCTGGAGCCCCGTGGGAGAAAGAGGCGGCAGCCGCCTCCCAGCACCCACTCGCTCGCTCACGTAGAGGTGCGTCTGACCCATGACAGACCTCCGTCACATTTCCAGTCAGTGAGGAGACTGCTCACCTTTCTCCACGGGATGCCAGTGGATTCGAACCACTGGAGACTTGCAGGCGGTGGGGAGCAGCACATCTCACTATGGCCTAGACCCTCAGGGCTCCCTCCGTGAAGACTGCAGCCTTGGAAATCTATGGCAAGTATGTCGGCACAGAGGCCTGTGGCCCCCACCCCTGCAGCCCTTCAGGACCACAATGAGTCAGGAGCCATGTAGGCTGTGTGGCTTTCTCATTTTAGAGAATGGTAAGTGCCCAGTCAATCTGCCCATTCCGTCCAACCACAAAAGAGAAAAATCATGGGGGGCAGTTTTTACATGTATACCTTATAAAGAAAATCAGATGTCTAGAGGTGCAGCTTGGGTTTTCAATGTCACTTAAATGGTATTTGAGGCAGGATCCACAGATTGGGGGTGACAGGGGAAGAAGGAAAAGCATTTTTGAATTGAATTACCAAAGAAAGTAGTCCGGAAAGCACATGGTGACTAAAAATGACCAGGAGACCTAGGAAAACATCATTCCCCTCAGAGAGGAATCCAGACCAGAGGTACACAGTGTGATGCTTTTCTAACAGATTGACCAAAACAAAAACCTGGAGACGCGTGTGGGTGGGTATGTGGGGAAGCTGCCGCCAGGGCCGAGTTCGGTGCCTGCCTCACTGGCCAGGCAGTGGGGACCTGATGAAGGGAATGGAGAGGGGAGCAGGCGAGAGGCCCAGGAGTGATGAGGCCACAGAGACAAGGATGCAGGGAGACTGATTAAAGCAGCCTCGGTCACGCCTGACCCATGACCAGAGCTAATGTGTGGGCTGGCAGCTGGCAGAAGTGAGGTGGTAAGAAGTGGCCAGCCTCTCGGGTCAGTTACTCTGCAGAGAGATGGTACAAATTAAAGAGTGACTGGCTGGCCAGGAGTAGCTGGAGGCGCCTCCCTGCTGATGACTCAGAGGGTTCTTGCCACGGTTCAGTAAGTAAGACATTGAACTTGATACCCTTTTCAGGCTTGGCCTGTTCTGAAATGTGATGCTGCACTCACAGCTCAAATGCCATTTGTTTCTCTCAGGGAGACAAATCAGGGAGGCAGAAACATTTCAAAAAGAGAAGCAGAAACCCGAAGATTTTCACAATCATTTTTTTGTCACGCTGCATGGTGGCTTTACCTTCAGTGCAAGTTTCTAAAATGGTTTGAATGTGTCAGGAGCAGATGAATTCTCTCCATGCAAAGGGACGACTTATTTTTCATTTTACAGAAGAAACTCTTACTATGAAAACAGATTTTTGTAACCTTTTGGGTCTTTGTAGATCTTTAGTTGCTGTTGAACTGCAAATCACTGAAACCCTGTGAAGAAGAGATGTGGACCCTGCTCAGTGTTGTACTGTCTTCACCACCCCTGATACGTGTGAGCCCGTTGTTGTGGTCACTGTGTCCAGCTGTCTTACTGAGAGTCTTCCTCTGATCCCCTACCATCCCCGGCATGGGGTCTTCCCCTGAGGACTGGCCCCTCCTGACGCCATTCTCGAAGTCCGTGACATGAAGTTTCTCCACCCTTGCCTCTCAGGGGCATCTTGGTTGCACTTTCTTCAGGACAGGTCTGTTTTTTCTCTTGACAGTTCCTGACAGAACAGAGTTAATACTCTTCTCCGAGCCCACGACTCAAAGGCTCCAATCTCCTTTACTCATCGCCCCACTTTCAGATGCAACTGACTCAGATCAGGTGTATTGAATCTTCCATCTGACCTCCTTGAATCCTTGATGTTTAGCACTTTGGAGAGGTTCTCAACAGATTTCCCCAGGCATGTGGCTTTGTTTGTTTGGAATTTTTTTTGGTTTTGGTTGGTTGGTTGTTTAAATTTCTTCACTACTGCTACAATGGGTGTTAATTGTAGATCCAAGTAAAATGAATTTTTTGACACCTTCAGTCTTTTCTCCATGTGTCATGACGTGGCCTGGTGGAACAGTGGGGAGGACTTTTGCGGTCCTGATGCTGAGGTTTAACCTGTATTGAAGATCTTTGATCCCCTTCAGTGTTTCAGGTCCTCTTCACTTTCAGCAATCAAGGTTGTGCCATCTGCCTATCTCAGGATGGTGAGTCTTCCCCGATGCGGATGCCACTTTCTTCTTCATATTATCCAGCTTCTTGAATTATTGGTGTGTTGATAAACGTGGCTCACTGCCGGGAGCACTTATTTCATCATGGATCTCAGAAACTAATTGCCTTGGAATCAGAACCAACTCACAGCTCACCCTCCACAGGGTTTCCAAGACTATAAAATCGACCACATTTCTCCCCTGGAGCAGCTGGTGGACCTGGACCCCAGCCAGGCCTGGCCTTTTGGTTAGCAGTGCCCTCCCTGTGAACTCTGCCAGCAGACCGTGTGTTGGTTAAGTGATCAGAGCATTATCTTAAGTGGATCGGTGAGAAGAGCTTGACTTTCTGAGGCATGCTGGGAGCAGGAAGGAGAGAGGAGAAAATCAATCCCTTGAAGAGTTTACGGATATGAAAATAACAGCATCTCTTCCGTGGAGAATGTTTATATTCACCAAATACTTGACACCACTTCAGGGACTCGACGATCTCCTGAACCTCATCTACCGCCAGCTGCTTGAGGAGCTACAGGAAGCAGATGACACATATGAGAAGCACCAGGTCAGCGGAGCGCTGGCAGGACACCTTGTGCACGGCCCTTTACCCAAGACCAATGCGGGCTAGAGAACAGGATGTGACCTGCACCCTCTGGGCCTCAGTTTTCCTACATGCAAGACAGAAATGGCTGAATTCAGCTCAGAAAGTTGAGAGAAGGCATGGACATATATGTGAAGCTGTTGGGCAGAGCCTGGTATAGGTGGGCACTGAACAAATGTGCCTGCGATTCTTACCAACCATTGTTGGCTTGGCTATTGTATTTCATGAGCACTGCCAACAGTCCTAGGTCCAAAGGCTTATGCTTGGCCACCAACTAAAAGTATGGCCTTTCAAATCCATCCAACAGTGTCCTGATAGTAAACTCTGGAACATTCATTACCTCTGTGACATTGAGGGGACGGAGAGTCTGTGCAGTGCAGCTCTGCTCGACCCCACAGAAGGCTCTGAATGGACTCAGTGGTCATGGGGATTTGATCTGGCCACAAGGTAGCTGTAGAAATGAGATTGAAGACCCAGAGGTCCCACTATCTCGCCATTCCCATCCTACCCCACCCATTCCGTGACCAAAAACACAAAGAACTTGCCAAGGAAGGTTCTCACCGCAAAAGCTTCATCCACGAAATCTCTCTCGTTGAAAGCCAGCACTGCGGGCGAGATGTCAAGGGCACTGAACTCCATGGCCGCGGTGACGATGGGCTCACGGCTGGTGGCACGGCCGTTGCTGAAGAACACGGCCACTCTCCTGGCGCTGGTGCCCGAGCCCGTCCTCTTGAGCACGTGCCGGGCCACGAAGCGCATGGCGGTGCCGAGGTCCCTGGGCCGCGTGGGCCTTTGGTAGTGCACCTGGGCCAGCAGCTGCAGCAGCTGCTTCTTGCTGTGATAGTCGGCCCGGCGGATGAGGTAGCTGGTGCTGGAGTCGTAGGAAACCACGGCCACCCTGGCACCCACGGGGCAGTTCCCCTCCCTGACGTGCAGCTCATGGACTAGGGACATCACCATGTCTCTCGTTTCATTAAACCTCTGTTCTGTGAGACCAGAGGACTGGTCCAGGGCAAACACCAGTTCTGTTGGATACGCCGGACACCTTTCTATAGAAGATGAGAAGGAGAAATGGAGTTATTGTACAGCAATCCCAGAGGTGCATGGTTCGAATCCACCAGATGCTCTGCTGGAGAAGGAGGAACAATCTCCTCCTGTACCAGTCAGATACAATTTGATGGTACACACACAAAAATATAATTTAAAAATAACTTAAGTTAGAAATGGAGTTATTTGCATGCATCAGCATCTTTTCGTCCTCTCTCAGATAATTTCTGCTGGTAGATCTAGGAAAAGCCCAGCATTCCTTTCAGCTCTGGAACTCTAGCTTCCCAGGTGCAATGAAAAGTGATTCAAACTTGATGGTGTCCTCTATGCGTGGAACTTGACATCTGGCTCAGTCCTCATGCCCGCCATGGCGTGCCACTAACAAGGAAATTGCAGGGAGTTTGGGGGACAATGAAAATGTTTTGTGTTCTATTCAGGAGGGGGTTACATAAATCTGGGTATGTGTTCGAACTCCAAAGTGAACACAAACAAGAAAACTGTGACTCTTACTAGCTGTAAGGGTATGTCAATTTTTCCAATTTTTACATTGGTTTGCATACAAAATTTGTACACAGTGGGTTTCATTCGAGTATATTGTGTTTCACACTTTCCTTTATTCATATAATGTTCATATGATCATGCCTATACACTGTGTTCTGTAAAATGAAGCACCATTCATTGATGCCGACTAAAGAGAATTCGTTTTTTGAGGGTTTTGGAAATCTACAACACTCTAAAAACTTCAGAAACGCACTGGCAGTCATTGGAATGTTTTCACCCACTTACGCAACCACGGTGGTCCTTAGGGGGAAATGTGGTGAAACTCTGATTCTCATACTTTGGGCAGGTCGTCCAGAGGCCAGTTCTTGGAAAAAGACCTCGTATTGATAAAGGCCAGCAAAGGAGAGGCAGGCCTTCAGCAGGCTGGACTGACCTAGTGACCACAGCAATGGACTTCAGCCTGCAGAGCCTGTGGACTGAGCAGGGCAGGACAAGGTGCAGACCTGCTGTCCGTAGGGTTGCTATGAATCCCAGTTGACCTGACAGCACCCAACAACAGCAGCAGAGGAACAAGCGTCTCTTAATCACTCTGTGGAGTGAGGTGTGGCGCACACCGTGAGATAGATACTCAGGTGGGTCAAACCCAGGCGTGCCCTGAGGAACTTAAATCAGGGAGGGTCACATAAGGGAAAGGCCAACTGGAAGGTACAGGGGCTCAGAATGAGGAGGCTGGAGTCCCAGAGGCTATTTCCTATCAGGGACGATCCCAAGGGCTGCGTGAAAGCCAACTTTTGAATGCAAGCCACACTTTCATTCCAGAAGGAAAGGGCGTCATGGAACAAGCTGAGGTGAAAATGGACTGTCCGCAGCTCACAACTCAAAGCCAGCAGTCCCAGGACGGAACTTCATGAGAAGTCTGACCTAGTGCCACGTCGAACCGCCCCAGTTGTTGAATTCTGAATGCAGGAGGACGAAAGGAAGAATGGAAAAAGCAGCTTCTCAGGCCAATCTGTTTACAACCTCAAACGGTTAAGTCCCAAAGCCCCCTCAGCTCATAGTCTCCCATCCTCCTGACCACTGTTCTCGGATTTAGAGATGGAGAGGCAGTATTGATGTGTTTGGAATCAAGAAATCTTACTATAAATATATTGTAAAACGTAAAATGAATAGCGAGTAGGAGCAGAAAGAGAATAAAGTATCCCTCATTTCTTAGATTTCTGAGAAAAAGAACAAGCGAAGTGGAAGACCAGTATATCTTGGAGACTAACCCATCATCTCAGGTTCCCCCAAAGACAGGAGCCTGGGCCTGTTTATTCTTCCCCTCTCCTGCAACCCCAGTGCAAGGGGCCCTGCTGTTTCAGTGGGGAAACATCTGCTGACCAAAAGTCCGTGGTCTGAACACATCAGCTGATTCTGTAAAGAGTCACAGAAGTGGAAGCCCGATGGGTGGTCCTGCTTGGCCTTATAGGTGAAGAGCTCTGAATAGCCCACTGGTGGCCGAAGCAACACCCAAAACAACATGCCTGGGAGGAGGCGTGACCAGGTGCTTCTTAGAGACAAGAATGAGAAAATGCATCTGGTCTACCTGGGGAATGTCATCCGGAGAGGGTGGTAGACAGGAAAACACCACTTCAAAGAAAAGGGAGGGTCTCTCAACAAGACGGATGACACAGTGACCCCTCGGGTTACAGTGGGTGGGAGCATGTCAGAGGGAAGGATGGCACAGGATAGGGCCAGTTAGGGCCGGTCCACATCCACTGTTTGTAGGGTCACTAGGAGTTGACTCAGCGGCACCTAACAGTAACACAGCCCCTCTAGATAGATCCTGAGCTGGCCGGTAGTGAAGGCCACACTGTCTGGTCTTAGCTTCACCTGTTGTTCAGAGGGTCACATGAGTTGTGCTTGACCAAGCAGCACCTAACAACAACAACAGTAATCCAGGGCTGCTATAAGTTGGAATAAACTCATGGCCAAGAGTTGACCTATAAAGTCAAAGCTATGAAGCATTTTATTTAGTACTTAGCATGTGCAAGGTATATAAGGTACCTGTGTGCACATGTGTATGTATGTACACATATATATGTATATGAATATATATGTGAATACATTTTTTTTCTGAATTAAAGTGTTGTTGTTAGGTACCGTCAAGTCAGAACTGACCCATAGCTGGCCCTCCAGGGGCTTTCCAGAGGCATAAATTGTATGGGAGTTGAGTGCCCATCTTCCTCCCATGAAGCAGCTGGTGGATTTGAACTGCATGCCTGCAGGTTGGCAGCACAGCTCTTTACCATGAGGCCACCAGAGCTCCCTGAATTAAAGTCAAAACTCCATGTTCCCAAACCAGCTCAAAGCCTCTGAATAAGGTTTTCTAGCAGACAAGGCCCTCCTGACGTTGACATAATGGCCTCCACAGCCAAGCCACGCCGGAGGCCACACCCTAGGCCTAGTCCCTGGTGGACCATTGTGGGCAGAGGGTTGGCTTATGCACAGGCAAAAGGTGGGAAAGTGCTGGGTCCCAGCAAACAAAGAAAGCACCACATGTGCAGAAACCAGTGTCCACGGTTCAAACAGCGCCAGAGAGTAGGGTTGGTTCCAAGAGAACCCAGTGCACTGACCCCGTGCGGCACAAGGCTCTCCTGTGAAGACATGGGAGCCGTCACCCGTCACAGGGCATAGGAAAAACACCAGTGCACAAGTCAGGGGTCACTGCTGGCACTGTCATCAGGTGGGGATCCAAGCATATGACGACAGTAATCCTTATATTCAAAGATAGATGTGCCCCGGAGAACAAGGAAGTCCTCGAGGAAGTGAGAGCTTCTTACAAAGGGGTCTCGTGTGGAGGAAAGCATTATTTCAGCAAAAGACCCAGAATGGCAAGCACACTCACCTTCCCAGCAGGCTGCAAAAGAGGAGAGAGAAGAGAGTCATTTACATTTTTGAAACACAAATTAGGAATAATCCCCCAAAATAAACATTTCTGCAAAGCTTGACCTTTCACTTGCCTCTAAGTGAAGCTCATCCTAATTTACCGGAAGGCAAGGTCAGAGGACAGAGGGACACACTCGGGATTTTGTGGAATCATGACCCTCTGACCTCCTTCCCGTGGGAGCCAGGGCCGGACAATGGTAGCAGGACATCTTGGGGACAGGGTAGGTCAGTACAGTCGAGCCTCTGATTAAACGGCACGAGAGTGACAATTTGATTTGTCATCTCTCTCCATTGACCCCCTGGGAGCCATTCAGGGGCACAAGACTAAAATATGGGGCCTTATTTTCCTTCCTAAGAAAATCTTTGGAAGCTCGGTTCAGCACATGAGGGTTCCCATGTGAACTCCCTCTCTGCTGTGAAGCAAATTCCCTGTGGAGTGATCCCTACACCCACGCAGGAGAGCAGCCACTGTGCTCTTCTGAGGAAAACAGCATCTGGTCCCCTGGAAGGGTTTGCTCTGAGCCTAACGCTGACGGGGGGAGATACTGGTCAACCTCCAGGAAGACTCAGGCCTGGAAGTCCCACGTTCCTTGCACTCAGGAAGTGGACGAGTCACCTCGCTGATAAAGGCTTGCATTAACGCTGACCTCTCCTCCTGCCTGTCCACAGCCCCTCCCTCACAGCAAACTGGCCTGACTGCATCCTGGGCTGGAGGCGCTGCAGTGCCCATGCTTGATACTTGGCACGCCTGGTGGCTAGCCCTCATGCTGGGTGTCAGAGCCCCTGCAGAACTGAAGGGCGGGCAGCAGTAGACCAGGGACCCTCACTCGCCAGCCTCATGTACAGCGTGAAGCATGTCCTCATGTCCCATCACCTGCTTTGAGGCCAGATCTGCGATTCCACGCTGTCTCACTGTTCCACGGGCTGGCGAGGGAACCTCCCAGCTTCCTTACCCTCTTCGTTTCCAGCCTTTTCATTGGATGTTAGAAAACATCTCCATAAATCCCAACTCCAGGCCCAGCCCTTCCATCTCCCAGAGAGGACATCACTGATGTTTCCCCAACAACCAGCTGTGTGAGGAAGGGGTCAGCTCACCACGTTGATCTCCCTGTGAATTCTGGTCCAGGGCCTCATGGACACCAAAGGGAACTATAACTCCCAAGCATTTTAACTCCACACTTAGCCTCTTCCTTCGAAGCTTCTTTCCATCCCCCTTTTTGACCTCTTTCATGCTGCCCACTTTCAGTGGGGACTGGGAGGCCCATCTCTGTACTGCCATTTCTCTCTGCCCCACACCTTGGTTCTGTTTCTCTGTGGAGGCAGTTTACTTTGCTTTTCGGTCTCTTTCTGATTTGACCCCTTGGGCACCTCATCCACACAGTGGTTTTCAAAGTCATGAGCACTGGACCGACTTGAACTCCTGCCTTCTCTCTGATCCCGCACCTTTACTACAAAAGCCAATCCAGGTGCCGAGAGATGTTGACTAGTGGACAACCCAGTGTATTCAGAGCAGAACTGTCTTTGTTGGTTTCCCAGGGGCTGTTTTTTTACAAGCAGATAGGCAGGCCCTTCTTTTGCAGTCCCCCTGGGGGCAACGATTTTCTGTAGCAGAGTGCTCAGTTCTTTGCATCCCCCAGAGTTGCTTGCACTCTTTTTATTGCCCCATTTGATTAGTGGCCATAAGTGATTTTCATTTCAGACCTGCACAATTATCTGATTTCTATAGAATGTTTAAAGCCCTCGAGTTTTCCTTCCTGCACACTTGTATCCACTGCATTCTTATTCACTCCCCTTCGGTAATGTTTCTGAGATCAACCCATCTCATGTTCTTCTGAGTGTGACTGTTGTTATTGGATAAATCCTGCCTTTGAAAGATTGACCATCTTCCTCCTGGAGAGCTGCCGGTGACTTTGAACTGCCTGTCTTTGGGTTGTCAGCACAACTCCTTACCCACTATACTACCAGAGTTCATTATTATTCACTAAATCTCAATCTCTCTCTCTCTCTCTCCTCCTCTCCGTCTCCGTCTCTCTCTCCCTCTTTTCTCTCTATCCTCCCATTTTTCTTTCTCTCTCTCTTTCCTCCTATCTCTCTCTTTTTTTCTCTCTCACACATCCCCACACCACTCCTAACTGACCCCCCCAGAAAAGTTTTGGAGAAGCTGCATATAAGTTGGGAGGCAATTGCCCGGCCATCTTTCTCCCCTGGAGCCACAGGGGGATACAGATCACAAGAGCCATCCGTCTACACCGACAGAGTCTGCACCAGAACTCCCTAAACATCATCATCAACAACAGAAACATAAGGAGAAAAACCTCCTAAAATCCTCCCACTTGTATTCCACCTTTTAAAACCTTGTCTCCACTTCTGCTGGTAGTACTTAGTTCTATGTAGATAGATATATTTACCAACACATAATTGTTCCAGGATTCAATTTCATTTTCTGGCTTTGTAATGCCAAGATTTTCCACATTCTGATGAAATCTTCATTTAAAAACAACAAAACCACATCTGCTTAATATTTCAACGAGAAGCTGTAATACCATTCCAAGCCCAATTATTCTCTAAGAGAAAATCACCTAAAGGTATACTCATTCGGTTCCAACGAACAGAATTTCAATAAACATCTTTTGATGTAATTATTTCCTTCATTTGTGTTATCCCCTCAGGCTGCGTTTTCAGAAATACCTTTACTACTTCGCTTCCCCCTTGTTCACCATCAAAGACAGCAGCATCATGGATTGCCTCCTCTTTATTCTGCTGCTTATACTTTTTCTTGCAGCTCCCCCTTCCTTTCCAGGGCTGTTGTTGCTGGTAGGTGCCGTCAAGTCGAGTACGACCCACAGCGACCTATGAACAGATCTAAACTCTGCTGCACCATCCGCACACTCTCCGACATGCTCAGGTCCATTGCAGCAGCCACTGTGGCAACCCAACGGGCTGAGGGTCTTCCTCTTCACGGCCTGTCTTCCACCTTTCTGAACAGGATGCCCCCCTCCAAGGAATGGGCTCTCCTAGCAAAACTCCCAACACACGTGAGATGAAGCTTCATCGTCTTTGCTTCCAAGGAGCGCTCTGGCTGCACTTGGTTTCCTTCCCCCTAATTAGGCTCCGTTCTCTCCCTCCCTTTAGATTCCCTAGGTAGCAAAAAAGATCCACGCTCAGCTACTAACCTCAAGGTTGGAGGTTTGAACCCATCAACTGCACCATGGCGAAAGGTCCAGCAGTCTGGTTCTGTAGACTACCCCCCCTTGTTGTCCCCCACCCCCCAAATCCCACTGCTATCTGGCTTGTTCCAGCTCACAGCAGGGCCCCCTCCACCTGATGTTCTTAGGGGAGAGGACTGTCTCCTCTTCTCCCCTCAGTCTGGATGGTGGATTCAAACTACCAACCTTTCCATTAGCAGCCCGGTAGGCAACACACTGCACCACCAGGGTCTTTTCTGTAGATGGCAGTCAACTCTTATGAACAGCTCTAATCTGTACTCATGAGGCCACGTTAGGTCAGAGCAGGTTTGATGGCAAAGGATTGGGGGTGACTGATGTATTGAATTGATTTCATTTTCAGCAGCCTTCTTTAACCAACTAGCTAATAAACCCATTACCAAGCAGCACTACCCCCACTGTGCTCATGTATCCACAATCACAGCCACTCAGTCCTTTTGCACAGAATCCTTCCACTAATGTCAGGTAATCCACATCCCATGAGAGTTGACCTCTGCTTCACACACACACACACACACACACACACACACACACACACACACACACGGTTTCTCTCCTCCTGTGAACACTTCCTGAACAAAGGTATGTCTTTACTTAACATATTATCTTCTTCTCCTACATTTAAAGTGAAATAGTCCCCAAAATCTCTCAAGAAAGCCTGCTGCAGAGGCCCTCTAGCTGCCCCTCCAGTCGGGTCCACCCACTGGCTCTGCATGAGCACACCCGGGGTGTGGTAACCCCAGCAAACACAGATCCTGTTGTTCCTGGGCGCCTGGGTACTTACCACTGTGTTCACGCACAAACCGGATCAGATCGCACTGCTGTGGACAGAAAAGACAGAGACAGCGTATGAGCAGCGGGCCCCCACGGCCTGGTCCAGTGCACTGACACATGGTGTGCGATGGTGACGAAGGAGATACTTACCGAACGGTCAGGCTGCCCAGCCATGCCTTTAGGGCCCTAGGGAAACAGAAGCCAGCGAAGTTACTGCTATGCAGACCTGGGTCTCCAGTGACTAAACTTACAGTAAACAAAAGCCCTCGACTCTCAAAAGCCCAGCTGACAGAGGGGACACTGACATCGGTTTATTTTGGGGTTTGGGGTTTTTTTTTAATTGTAGTTGGAGTGAACGTTTACAGAGTACCTTTTTTCCTCCATTCAACATCATACCCACTATATTGTGTGACGCTGGTCACAAACTTCACATCACAGAGCTCTGTCTACTCCTTGTGTTGACATTTCCATTCACCCCTCCATCCTATCCCTTCCTGGCATCTGAGTTCGTGAGCCATGTTTAAAGATGCATTTTTCTTTTCAGATCTCCCTGAATCTTTCCCATTTCCTTTCTTCCCCCTCCCTCCTCCCACCAAATTGTGTGACCCTGTGATTTCCTCCCTACCCATCCTCACCCCCTGCTCCCACACTTTTACCCCTTGGAACCTCATGCATGTTTTACTAGTTATCCTATTTTTACAGTAATGGTCTTATGAAGTATTTGTCCTTATGAGACTGAGTTAGACTCAGCATAATGATAATCAAATCATATATCCCTCCATTCATTTATCCATCCAATCCACCCATCCACCACCCACCCACCTATCCACCTGTCCATCTAGTCAATCTATCCATCCACCTAACAATCCATCTTCCATCCATCAATTCATCTATCCCTCCATCCTCCCACCCACCCATCTGTTCATCTGTCTAATCTAGCCATCCACCTAATGATCCATCCACCATCCGTCCATCCATGCCACACCCGCCTCGCTGTCCTCTCTGGCCACGACGCCCGTGTGACAAAATGGGACGCCCGCGCCTGTACGGGGTCTCTGACCTCAAGGATAGCATAAGAGGGAATCTTGCAAGCCCTGTGCTTGTGAGTGGGCTGATGCCTGGATATTTGTTACAGATGGGTCTTCGTAATCCCGGGAAACCTCTGGAAATTAAGTTGCTTCTAGGGATTGCTTTTCTATTTTTAAGCTATGTGCTGTTTCTGATAAGAATAGGAGTTTCTGGGGAAAAACCAGGGGAACTTCACCAGAACTGGGATAAAGATTTAACTAAAGTCCTTAATCAGGAACCATTTGATGTTCCTGGAAATGATAACAAACAAGCTGAAAATATAAAAGAAATTGAGATTGTTCTTAAAAGTATAATTTTGAATATGATCTTTGAGTATGTATCTAATTCCTCTTTTGTGATACTTGCAACTCATATTCAGCAATGTAATTGTACATTAGGAGAAAGTTTAGACTAGTTTCAATAGCAGAAAGTCACAGTTAATGAGAAACGGAAGTTTATGATGATGACCTCAATAGATGGGTTGTATTCCAAGGAAAAAGAATTGAATATTACAAGTTAACTTGGTAAAAACAAATTAAAAGAAGTCGTCTGCCTTAGTGCACATTGCCAAACAAAAACAAATTAAAATCTTATGAAACAAGTTGCAAAAGCTATTGATAAACATAGGAATGGTCCAGAGTGTAGGAAAATAGATGTTAAGATTCGTTAGGTACAGTACAAACATGAGTACAAAGGCAAAAACAAAAGTGGCTAAAATACAGTAACGCAAAGTAGGAGAGGAAAGGAAGTGAAATGTAAACCATTAACCATTGTCTAGCAGATGACCAACATAAGGTCATTATGTTTCTTGTTCAAAGAATGTTTAATAGCTGATGCTATTATTTAGTAATAGAAAATACTTTCTTTTTGTTTTTTCTAGTTAAAACCTTATGTGAGCTTTGTAATCACAAAATGTTGGCTATAAGTCAAGTTTAACAAGTTTAAATGTATAAAAAGCAAGCTTTTAGTATAATAAACCAGAGCTCTCTACATCATCCTGGTGTGCAGACTCTCATTTTCGCCGACTTCGTCCCTCACCTGCTCTTCACCAAGAAACCCCTCGAGTTTCTTGTCACGACCGTGGTCGGGTGGTCGGTGACACATCCACCTATCCACCTGTCCATCTAGTCAATCTATCCATCCACCTAACAATCCATCTTCCATCCATTCATTCATCCATCCCTCCATCCTCCCACCCACTCACCCACCCATCTGCTCATCTGTCTAATCTAGCCATCCACCTAATGATCCATCCACCCACCCACCCACCTATCCACCTGTCCACCTATGCACCTGTCCATCTCGGCAATCTATCCATTCACCTAACAATCCATCCATCCATCCATCCATCCATTCATCCGTTCATCCATCCCTCCATCTACCCCCCACCCACCTGCCCACCTGTCCATCTAGGCAATCTATCCATTCACCTAATAACCCATCCACCATC